AAAGAAACAAAACTTTCACATATAATCTACACTGGACAGAGTAGCAGTTTTGTAACTTCTGCTGCAATGATGGGAGAGATGTCCAAGCTGGGTTGACTAATCAGATGGCCTATAAGAGGCATGTGGGCAGATCTCTTGTTATTTCCTATAGGTGGTGTTCGGTTCAGTCTACAAGACCTTTGCTTCCTTCCAAAACATTTTGTGGCCTTCTTGGTACTAATTTTTCAAGGATACCTTGGTTTAGGTGCTCCTTAATGCATATTTCTAAGTCTCCTTGTTTTGCTGACATAACATCTGACAGTCACATAGAATATTACACACACACTGCTTCATCTGCAGGGCACCTCTAACTGGTCCAGTTTTCATCAGTGTCTCATGGATTGTATGTTTAGTTTTGAAAATAGTTCTGACACTGAGATGGTATCTGACTTTACCAGAGATACCCTTAACATATTGGATAATGACTATGCCCTGGTATATTCTATCTGAAGAAGGATGGTTGCTTCTCAATGGCTTCATTATGGGGTCATCAAATTCTTGTGGGTATTCATTAAATATCAGGTCATGTCTCTAAGTTGTTATTATTGTAACGTGTTTCGTTACTGATTACGCCGTTCGGATTGTTAATTGGTTTATTTAACAACCTACAATTCTCAGCTACAATTAATTATAACACAGTTGTGGGGTTTCACACTTTATAACCCTATTCGCAATGTTCAATTCACACTGTTTTCAGTAGTCTACATGTTTCACAGTATGGGAGCTATATAAGTGTCACTGTATCACACACTCCCAATTAATTCTCAGTTATCACAAACTATCACTGATTCTCGCACACACGTCCATAACTCGTAACCTCTGTCTTGAGAACTCGTTCACTGCTGACTGGAGAACTGTCTTTGGCCGCTGATACACTTTAACTCGACTACAACTGAACTTGGCGATGGCCACATTTCAACTAACTCTCGCTTGCTGCTCAGCCGGCTTTTATTCTGTTCACTGTTGCCTGTTGCCCGCGCCAACAGCTTCGTTGCGTGCCACGTCACAGTAGGAAGCGGAGTCGCGTCACAGTAGGAACAGGTGCCACGTCGTCATGTTCCGTCACCGCACGTTGTGCGTTACATCACCGTGGGGAGAGTGGCGGGGCGATGGCTCGCCTATTACCATAGTAACGAGACCGCTATATTACCGCCACATACCGCTGGGGAGGTGGGGGTTCTCCGTTGCGCAACATATCACAATATCCTTGTTGAAACCCTTCTGATTCTGACATATGGCTCGATTGATCAAATTATAAATGACTCCCCTATTCATGTGAAGTGGGTGTTTGGACTTGAAGTACAGATAATGACCCATATGAGTATGTTTCCAGAACACTTTCATGGCCAAATTTGGACCCCTCTTCATGACCAAGACATCCAAGGACAGAAGAGTATCATTAGCTCCAACTCCCATTGTGAATTTGACGATAGGTCTAAGGTTGCAGAAAAAGTGATGATGAATCTGCAATCTTGCTGGTCCATGTAGCCACTGTACGAATGTGGTGTTGCCGCATCTGAGCCATTTAGTGGGTCTGGGGTCTGCTGTATCCAGTGCTATTTCCTCAGTGTTTCATAAATATATTACTGACCACTGGAGAATGTGAATTTCCCACTGCCATGCTTTCATTTTGCTAATATAATCTATCCTCAAACTCTAAGTATGCAGTTGCTGAACAGATGTCCAATAATTCTTGTGTCTTCAACGTACAAAAGTAAACTTTCTGGGGGAAAAAAAGGATCCATACTGAGTCTATTTCTTATGACCTGTAAGACTTCTTCCACTGGTACAATGGTAAATAGACAGACAACATCAAAACTTACAAGGGAGTCTTCGATGAGTTTGATTTGTTTCATTCTGGTCCGTCACAATAACAATTACAAATTATAAATCACTCCATCCAATGTGACCGTAAGTTTTTTACTACAGTGAAAACAGCACAGCAGCCACGAGCAAACCCTGGACGATATAAAGAACCTCCACATCAAGATAGCCAGGTGGCACAATACCTGCCCCATATAAGAGAGATGATGGGAGGACGAACACGAGCCTGCATGGTTTACGAACTTTAATCATTGACAATCTAAAAAACTTTTAATTTGCATCAAGGAATTTTATACAATTTTTTAAAACTTACATTCCCAGGAAACTGCTGTGTTTATGAAATGTTCTATTCTGTGTACTGTGTGTTGTAACATATAAGTGTACGTACTTTGCGTGTAAACAAATTATGTGATAGTGGTTTCCTATTTGTAGTGATGTTTGCCCTCTGAAGATGGTCCACAGAGACCGAAACATGTAAGGGTGTTGAGTTTTTATGTAGTAAAAAACTTACGGTCACATTGGACGGAGTGATTTATAATTTGTAAGGCAGTCTTCATTTTGAAGGTTAATCTCCTGTATTAATTTTATGAAGTGTTCCGAGTACTTCAAGGAAGAGTCTGTACTGCCAACTAGAGGACTCAGGATCTTATGGGGAAAATCTGCTACAGAATAACTGGGAGAGCCAACAGGGCTAACTACCGGTCTAAGTGGAATGTCAGGTTCGTGTACCTTCGGAGGTCCATCAAGGAGAGGTGGTTTACTATGGTAAGGTCTTAGTTTACACTTCAAGGTAGCAGGACGGACAGTTTTGTGCTTGGTAAGAACCTACCACATCTTCTTTTCAATTTGAGACATGGCAAACTTATGTAGAACTTCATAAACCCCTGATTCTAGTAGACTGGACATCCTTTCCTTGTATGCGGACTCATTCAATACTACTGTGCAGTTTCCTATTCTTCTGACCATGTGAGAACGTGCTGTGATAAATTAGGGATGAATATCTCAGACCCATGAATAGCTTATGGGGTTGCAGTGGTCTGGTGAAAATCTTTCATGGCTAAGAATTTTTAATCTGAATTTCTTTCTGCTTAAGTAAATTATTTTAAATTATAAAGTAGTCCATCTCTAATGCAACAAAGTCAATCCTTTCTTAAAAGACACTAAAATATATCTGATTCACTAAAATGTGTTTGTTAAATATTTTAAAATGTCATTAACTATGTACATTCAATGTCACTGCTACAGGGTTAGGCCACACATGGGCCATCATCAGGTAACACTTATTATATGTGGAGACCATTGCACTGTACACTTTGTCCTTAGTACCCATTGGCACCTTGTTGTTATTGTTAATTTGCTTTGTAGGAAGTACAAGGAAAAAACAGCACTAAACACATGGAACTAAAGAGAACGTGATATGCACGATTTGCCTACACATTCATCCTAAATTGGGAATCTGGACTGGGACAAATCACAACTACATACCTTGAGCCTTGACCGTCGTCATTTTCATCGCCTTTCTTTTCCATTCTTCCCCAAGCACAGTTCCATATGCTGTCGTCACGTGCATTTTCTTTTCTATTAAATAACGAATTCTAATTCTAATTAGTGACATAACCTACAATTGACAGTTTCGGTCTTGTTTCTGTGGGGTGCCTTCTCTGATGAGAAGACAGGTCTGTCTTTTGTATATGCTGCTGGCTCTTGCCAGAGCAGTCTTTCTCGGGTCCAAGTCCCTTGGGACTCGCGACCATATTTTACTGTCTCAGAATTGAGACTTGAGAGAGAGACACACACACACACACACTAACAGATCATCTTCAAAGGGAACATCAATACTCATTCGGGAACCACAATCACAATAGGTGTTCTGATTGCTAAATTACATACACATAATGCCTGGAATACACAATGTACACAATATTCAACTTTTCACAATCACAGCAGCCTTCCTGGTATTAAAACTTTTAAAGTGTTTAAAAAATTTAGCTTACCTGGACTTAAATATATTTAATAGACACGGACAAAGAGAAATGGAAATATACAGAAAACCCACAACGAAAGACATAACAATAAATAATAAATCATGCCACCCTAAAGAACAAAATTGCCAGCATATAAAAACTGGATACACACACTTCTTACACAACCCCTTGTGGAAAACGCTAAAAACAGAGAATTAAATACTATTATTAATATAACACTAAATAATGGCTATAGAATGGATACAGAAGTACGCCTTATATACATTCAAACTTATAACCATAGTAACACACGTAACTGTAGTTACACATAACAGTAAACATCACTTAGGTAACAACAAATAACCTAATTCTTAAATTGTTTACCATGATGTTGCCAACGCTAACATTATATTTCAGTAATTGAGAGTTGCCAACATAACATTAACAACTGTGGTCTATTACTTAAATATGACCTGTTAATCTATTTTTTCATTTTCTGTGCAAATGCATTTACTTCCAAGCAGTTTTAACGTTTTTAGCATGGAGTTCTGTGGCACGGCTAGGCAGTCAAAGGGCCAAAGTTTCCCCATTTTATAGTTTAATTTCGTCATTGAATTATAACTGGTTTTCTACTGGGATTCCACATGATCGTATTGTGATAAACTGCTCCAAACAGAAGAAGTGTATGAGCAGTTTGCGAGGTTAATCTTGATAACTCATAATCGATTCCTTATAAATCATTCACATCTACAGATAGAGCTGTAAATTGAAAACAAAACATATCTCAGGTTTACAGCTTTTAATGATACTGATTTCCATGATGATGCTTCAAATTACACCTACCTCCATATACGTAGCCGGCCCAGGAAAGCGATCCATTGCTTGACAACGGGCGGTAAACACTCAAAAACCTTGCTAGGCAACAAACAATAAACAGGCTCCCACGCTAATAAACACGCGAACTGTTGCTAGGTAATAACTCTCTCAGCAATAGATTGAGGACATAAAGTTTTCTGTGCTGCCCGTGACAATGCTATATAGTGAGAACTGCCTGGACTTCTTCGTAATCTGTGCAGTACTTTGCCGTAGAGCTGTGCATGGACAGTTGTTCGTGGTTCGCTGTGAGGAATTTCCACTGTTAGCAGAAATAACCTACCTGTGGCCAGTGCTGGATATAACAGATTGAGAGGATTTACTGAGTAAGTGTTTATATGTATATTTTATAATTTAGCAAAAGTGTTATTGGCACGACATAACGACAGGAAACAGATGTTTTGAAAATATGGCACAGTTCAGATATTTGGGAACGATGATAAGAAATCGAAATCTGATTGAGGAGGAAATTAGGAGCAGTCTGAACTCGGATAATGCTTGCTACCATTCGGTCCAGAACCTTTTGTCTTCTCGTCTGCTGTCAAAAACATAAAAATTAGAATACACAAAACTATTATGGGGTTTCTTAATGTGTAGTCTTGTCATTACTCCGATGACAACCCACTTTTTCGGAACAGTTTGTTGGCCCTGAAAAGGACCGTGGTTGCTGAGATGCATGGCCAGTGAGGTAGCGCGGCGCGCGCCGGTAAGGAGAGAGGTTAGTTGCGGTGAGAGGCCTGGCCGCAGTGCGGCCGTGGCTGGAGGTTGCGTGGTTGCCGTGCGGCAGCGTGAGTTGGAGGTTGCTTGATCGCGGCGTGGCGGCTGCTGGTGAAAGGCTAGTCGTGGAGCGCGGTCGTAGGAGTTATGAGGCAGTGGCTACGCCAGACGCCCAGTGGGTCGGACAGTAACACGACCACCGGCGAGTCCAGGCGCTATGCCCCAGTGAGTCGGGTGTGAGAGAGCCGGAGTGCCGAGGCAGTCGTGCCTGGCGCAGCCTGCCGATGCCTCCGAAGACCGAGCGCTGGCAACGAAGCCTGCTGGCTGATGTAGCTTGATCGAAGACTGCAATCGGACTGATGATGAACTGAACTGATTGGTTAGCGCGCGTGATGGTGAAAAGTGATGCGAAGAGCGAGCGTTGCAGAAAAGAGTGATAATGTGGGATGTTCCCACACTATAATTTTGCCTGTGGCTCATGAGTGCGAAACTTGGTCTCTGATATTAACGCAGGAACATAGACTGAGGGTGTTTCAGAACAGGGTATTGAGGAGAATATTTGGAACGGAAAGGGATGAAGTGACAGGAGGTTGGAGGAAAGTGCATAATGAGGAGTTTCATAACTTGTATCTTCTCACAGTATAATTAGAATGATCAAGTAAAGGAGAATGAGGTGGGAAGGACATGTAGCACGAATGGGGGAGACGAGGAATGCATATAGGATATTGGTGGGAAGGCCCGAAGGAAAAAGACCACTGGTAAGACAAGGCGTAGGTGGGTGAGCTATTAAAATGAATCTTAGAGAGATAGGATGGGATGGTATAGATTGGATTTATCTGGCTCAGGATAGGGACCAGTGAAGGGTTCTTATGAACACAGCAATGAGCCTTCGGGTTCCACGAACTGCTGGGAAAATAATTGAGTAGCTGCAGATTTGGCTTTCCCTTCACTAACATGTGAGAGTTGTAAGCATTTTCGTCCCTTTAAGCCACTAGCTAATTTTCTATTCTCCGTATTCAAGGAGTACTACCACATTTTCAAAAGATCAATTCTCTTGCTGCCATTCATATGTCATATTTATCATACATTGATAACACTGTTAAATTTCAACATATATGCAACATAAAATCACGAGCACAACGAAAAGTGGAATTATAGAACTGCACTTTGCGTGACATAATAATTTCTCACTTTAAATTCCATCATTTTGTGTATGGCGCATAGTGTGCAGATTAACAGACGTTGTAGTAAAGTGACTGCCATTTTGTATTTTGACATAAAGAGAGAAATGTATACTTGTGTACTGTTCTGTTCAGAAAATATGATGAATCAGTAATCCCAGATTTCATGGCAATGAGAGTAAATCTAAGGATTTGTTTATTGGGGAATGGAATGTCAGAAATATTTTGGTTACAAGTCATGAAATGGTCTATATTTGGAAGAATATATGATAGGAATTCTAGCCATCCACTTCCCAAATTCACAAATGAACATAGGCCATGATATTATCTCTGATTCTGCAAGTAACTTTTGATATTTGCACTACTGTTTTAATAAGATAAGAAAAAGTAAAGGTATTCTTGCAACAGCATGTGATCGCTCATAAGTTTGTGAGAAGTCGTGTTTCCCATATCTTTTAGACAGTCGGCTCACAAATGTCGGTAATGCTGTCAGTCTCACGTGCCAGGCACCTTTTACTCCCCAGGAAGATTTCTGGTACTACATTCTGCGTTCAAAATAAATCTGGGAATCTTTGGCGCAGCGTAGGACGACAGCATGGATGCGTGCACTTTATAAAGCGTACGAGTATAACGGTGATAGGGCGTGGAAAGATATAGGGGACAGATTACAGACGCCATACTAGGCGAGTAGAGTCGATCATCTTAGAAAAATAAGGGCCAGAAAAATGAGAACAGATGTCGGGAAGTTTTCCTTTGTGAATAGGACCATCGCTGACTGGAACCACTTACCAGAAGGGGTGATTGGGACTCCCCCCCCCCGTTAAAGCGCATATATTTAGAAAGAAGGTTAGGAAAGCAAAATCAGTAGGGCAAGTGAAGTGAAGCAGAGTGAAGTGTAGTGAAGTGATTTTTAGATAGAGGGCTGGGATAGCTCCGATAGTATAGAGACAAACTACAGACTTGACGGCCTGGGTTTAATTCCCGGAATTTTCAGATTGTTTTCTAATGTTCATTGTATTTGTTTATCTGTTCATTGTACTTATTTATGTTCACTGTTCTTGTATATGTTCATTGTACTTGTTTATGTTCATTGTTCTTGTATATGTTCATTGTACTTGTATTAGGTCATTGTACTTGTATTGTGCCTTAAGATGTATGTGCTGTATCTTTGTTGAATGTGTATGTCCGTTTTTGTAAACACTGCCACCGGGCATAAGCCGAATTGCAGTAAATCATAAATATATATTCTCTTAGAGACCGAGGCGACCATAGGTCCATAGTGCGCCTGCAAGGATTAGGTCAATTGAAAAAATTCAATGACCTCATCGGGAATCGAACTCGCCACCTCCCGGTTTGTAGCATAGTGCCTCAAACAACTACGCTTGTGGGAATTAATAGACAAATACGCTGTTTTCCTTTAGAAAAACTCCCTAAGAACAGAGATGCACAAAATCATCTTTCACACATTATAAAGCATATTGTAACAAGAAGAAAGTCGTCTTCTGGGGTTTGGCGCCATGTATTCTTCGTTTTGGCCGACGTTTCGGAGGAACGTATCGCCTCCAACTTCAGAGCAGGTGAATGGCTTGTGAATGCAGAGAGCAGTAGCTGTAGTGATTAGGAAGGCGAGGTCGAGGGTCATGTTACAACTGACGGTCGGTCAGTCTGTCTGTCTTGGTGTCGAGCCCCAGCTGGGGCTCCTGACCAGATATTTCTTTTGAAAAAAAGTTACTGTCTTGTCTATGTGTAGCGCCCTCTCTGACGAGAGGTCGGGTCTGTCATCTGTTAGTCAGTCAGTATTAAGTCTGTGTAAGATTTGAGGCTTTTACGGCGGTGACTATGAAGAAAGCAGTCTTCTGGGATTTGGCACCGTGTATATGTGGGGTTAACACCACATATACACGGTGCCAAATTTGTATTAAGTCTGTTGTCTGCATTTACATACATTTACAAATACACACTTAATCCTTACTTCTATGTACAATATATACACAGCCTCTGTCAGTCCAGGCTAGGTACAGCAGATTATGCTCTTTATATATAACGTCGCGTTACTACGGTAATAGGCGAGTTCCCGCCCCGCCACTCCCCTCCGCGGTGACGTCACCGAGCGTTGCGCATTGCGGGGTGATTACTCGCCTATTACGCAAGCGCTACGTTACCGCCGGGGAGGTGGGGCGGTAGGGATCAACATGTCACAATATATATATGTATATATATATTTT